AGACAAGCTGTGGCTCCGTCTCACACCCACCCTGGCTGGGCAGACCCTAGCCCCACTCCCTCCCTCACCATGGGGGGCACTCCTCTCCCCCTCCCCTTTCACCACAACAGACTTACCAGCTGAACTCAGCTGTATCAGAAATTGGATTAGTATCAGCTTATATGCCTCCTTAAAAATCAACTTTCAGTATTGGCCCCCAAAATGTCTATCAGTGCACCCCTAGCTGTTTGGGAAGCACACTTTCCCAAGCAGGCTGAGTTAGAACAGAGCTAAAAGAACCTGTCTGGCACTACTGCAGCACACAGACACCAACACAGATTAGGCTGGGTGATGTCAGACCACAGACCATCACTGTTTAGAATTTGAGGAATCCTGGAAAGGTCTGTAACATGGCTGGCCATAGGACCACTTAGAAGAGGAAGAGAGGAAATTCAGGAGCCCAGCACCTAGACCACAATTCCCTGTGCCCAGCATCCCCATCCCCACCAGCCCCTCAGGTTTAGGAAGAGCTGGCAGAAGACAGGCATAAGTTCAGCTTTGTCCCTATCACACTATTCCTAAGGCATGGATATAAAGGGAGAGGACAGCACTGTAGACGGATCAGTGGATCCCAAGGAAAAGAAGATCTGTCAAGGCCACATAAGGCAGAGCTGGAAGTAGAAGCTAGGTATCTACAACAGTAGTTCTCAACCTTTTTAGTCTCTAAACCAGGGGTGGGCAATTTATTTTGGCTGGAGGGCCACTTAACAAGTTTTGGTAAGCTGTTGAGAACTTTATGGGGAGCCCCAACTCTTGACAGGTACCCCGCCCCCTGATTGCCATCTTGGGACCTTAAGTCCCACCCCTAACCGCTGGCCTTTGCCACTGGAAGTCCCTCTCCTTACTCCCGGAAGTACTCCTTTGAGGGGGCGTTACCATCTTGGAACCGGAAAAAAACCAAATTATATACTAAAAATCAAACATCTACTATAACATTTTACAGGAAACCCTCACTATTCGCTGGTTCAGCATTCGTGGTTTCAAATATTCGCAAATGCTAAACCTGCTTCTTAAATACACTTAAAGGAGCTCCTTGGGAGCTCTGTCCTTGCCGTTGCTGGGCTCCTGCCGCTGCCGCTAGGCTCCCGCTGTGCTCCCACCATCGCCAAAGCAGCCCCCACACAGCCACCAGGGGCACTGAGTTCATGAATGCAGATGACGTTCATGAACGCAGTGCCTTATTCATGGATTTTGACATTCGTGGGGGATACAAGAACGTATCCCCCACGAATGGCGAGGGTTGCCTGTATTTCAAAAAAGATTTTGGTCCTGATTTATGTGTGTTTGCATAGTGTACATAGAGGTGACTGCATAATAGCTTAAAATAAAGTCTTACTCTTGCATATTGTGGGCGGGGTATCTGGGGTGTAACGGGGGCTGGGTGTGGGATTTGTGGGCAGGGGTGTGGAGTTTGTGTGGGGGTGTGCATGGGTGAGTGTGGGGTTTGTGGGGTCATTTGTGAAGGGGTGTGGGTGGGTGGGGGGTGAGGTTTGTTGGGGGGGCTGTTGGGGGGTGTGGGTGTGGGGTTTGTGGGTTGGTGTGGGGCTCTATGTCGTTGAGTGTGGGCCCCCTGCCACATGCCCTCCCCCCTCCCATAGCAGACAACCCCTGCTGGCAACGGTGGCAGCAGCAGCAAGCAACAGGCCCTCAGGGTGCTTAAGGCCCGCAGCAAGCAGAGCCCTCCAGCAGTGCATGGCTCCAGCTGAGTCCTGGGAGTTGCACGTGGTGGCACAAAGCTGGCCCAGCCTGATGATACACAACTCCCTGTGGTTCCCAGTCTACATGCCATCTGTGCTGCCATGTGTGACTCCTTGCTGGAGTGCTGGAAGTCCTATGTGAAGCATGGAGCCAGCCTGGCCCAGCCCAATGGTACACGACTCCCACTTGCAGTACCGGGAGCCCCACGTCCTGTCATGGAGCCAGCCCAGTCTGGCCTGAAGGTGCATGCCAGCAGGCCAGGCCGAGCCAGCTCTGTGTCACCACGTACAGCTCCCAGCCAGAGCCGTGTGCTGCCAAGGAGCTCTGTTTGCTGTGGGCCATGAGCGCCCCAAGGGCCTGCCACCTGCTGCTGCCATTGGTGGCAGCGGGGGCTGTGTGCCATGTTGGGGGGAGGGCGTGTGGTGCGGGGGCCCACACCCAGCCACAAACCCCACACCCCTCCCCCTCCTGCAAGCAGGAGCTCTCCTCCCCTTTGACCAGCTGGCCAGTCATGTGCCACTGCACTCAGTGCCTCCACATGGGGCTCCCAGCTGGAGTGCCCCATGGAGGTGGAGGCACAGAGCCTGCCTGGTCCAATGGTGTGTGATCTCTGAAAGCCCACCTCCTGCTGGCAACTATGGGCCTATAATAGTTGTTTTTTTGGAGGGGGGCCATGGGCTGGACAGAATGGCCTGGTGGGCTGGATCTGGCCTGCAGGCCATATTTTGTCTGCCCCTACTCTAGACCCCCCTCTATAACATTTCTGAATTTGGCAGCACCCCATGTCAAAAATTAAACAATTAAAAACAGAAAAATAATAGAGCAATTCTTCTGTTGCAAAGAACTCAGAAAGACCACAACAGGTCAAAATGCTTTTGACACTGTGGATTCTGTGGTCACTGGCCGCATCTACATGAGATGCTGACTGCACAGTAGCCCAAGACTACTGCGCAGTAGCATCACCTGGTAGAAACCATGACACGACTCTACTGCGCAGTAGTCTTGAGCTACTGCACAGTCAGTCACAAAAAAGTCAATTGTCGGCGCTACTGTGCAGTAACTCGGGTTACTGAGCAGTCATTTAGTACTTGTTTATATAAGTACTAAACGAATGTGCAGTAATGACTGTGCAGTCAGCATCTTGTGTAGACATGACCACTGTCACCAAGTTACCTTGCAACTTCATATTATCAATCAATTCAACAATTCAGGGCACACCAACTGCCTCTCCCCAAATGTCACCAGTTTCTTTATGTAACTAATGGGTAGTCTCAGGTCTAAGTGATGTGATATTTATGCATTCCTACACATCCTGAGTGAAAGTTGCTCCTTGGTTACAATGGTATAGGTTGAGTTGGTCTAATATTTGAGTTGGTCTAATAAAAGAGAGCAGATTTACCCAAAGATCCTTGGTTACAATGGCACTCTCTGCAGTGGGTGGTCATAACTCATTCATTTACTATGAACTCATTTTTTCCCTTCTATCATCTTTTACCACTCACAATAGCTGCAGAATACAGCTACTGATCTAAAGCATCTCTGCTTCTTGTGCAGAACCTATTTCCCACTTACATATAAGCTTCTTCTTGTCCTGCAGAGAATTTTGGTTTGATTTATTACTCTCCTGGAAGCCATCCTGCTTCAGCAGGCAAGTAGAGCTCTTCTGCTGGTGCCCTGAAGGCAGTATGGAGTTGTTCTGCAGTGCTTTCTCCTGGCCTAAGAAGGGAGATTGCTGTTAATGCCATGGAAGCTCCATTTCTTTGGATATTAGACTGCACAAAGCGGTGTAAGAAATTATCTGGCACAGATCTCCATGGGATGCATTAGACTGGATCCAGCAGGGCTTTCCACTTCCAGTTACTATGATTCTGGGGAAAAGTGAGACACAGACTGATGCTTTGTCAGTTACTCTCAGGGAATTTCAGTCTATAGTCACTGAGAGTTTATTTCTTTATTCAATTTATATGCTGCCCTTCCCAACAAAGGCTCAGGGTGGCTTAGAATAAGAAGACAGAATAACTTAAAAACAGGAGAGTGACAAGAGGACCAAAACAGCTTAAAAGAGAACTAGAACATCAAGACAAAACAGAACCCCACAAAGCAACATCTCATCCTAGCTTTGTTTGGTGAATGCCTGCCCATATGGAAAGGTCTTATAGCCCTTCTGAAAATGTCCAGGCTCAAGGTCTGGTGAGCCAAGAGAGAGAGGAAGTTCTAGAGTGGAGGGTGACCTGCCAAGAACAACCTCCCACACATTTTCACCAAGTGGATTTGGAGGACTGATGGTACTTATAGCAGGTTGCTCTTGGCTGACCTCAAGGGACTTTGATGGGACATAAGGGACAAGGCAGCCCCTTAGGTATGTAGGGCTCAGACTGTTTAGGGCCTTACAGGTCAACCTTGAATTGATCCCAAAAAACTACTGCAAGTCGATGTAGATTCTGGAAAACTAGTTATGTGCTCCTGGTGATCCACCTGCATCAGAAGGCAGGCCACCACATTCTGCATGTGCTAGTAGCCTCTGGACAGCCTTTAAGGGCAGACCTATATCGAGCACACTGCAATCAATAGTCTAGCCTTGAGATTACGAAGGCATAGATAATGGTGGCAAGATCAGAGTCTGAAAGAAAGGGTTGCAAGCCTTCTCATCAGATAGAGATGCTGAAAGGTGCTCCTAGCCACAGGTGCCACCTGAAGATCCAGGTGTATTAAAGGACCCAGCAGCACCCCAGGTCTGCAAACCTACGAGACAAGAAGAGGCTGCACCCCATCAATGATAGGTGTCCCAATCCCATGACCTCAAGTCATGTGGTCTGCCCACTACTATTATCTGTGTTTTGTCTAGATTCAGTTTCAACTGGTTTATCCATATCCAGTCCCCAACTGTAGTCAGGCACTGACACAGGCAACACGTAGGCGGGGTACAGGGTGGCATGGGGGGGGGCATGTGCCCCCCCGAGATTGGCCCTCGCCAGCTGGGGAGTCAGGGGCGATGGCTGGTGCCTCCCCCTGAGATTGTCGGGGTGCCAAGAGATGCGCCGGCAGCACTTCTGGGTTTGCCACCAGCACTTCCACCAGTGGCAGCAATCAGCTGCTAGGGGACTCTCCCCCTGATTGGCCACTGGTGCCCCCCGCAGTATCAGGAGGCACCAATCACCCATGGGCACTAAGTAAGGCCAGAGACGGGGTATTATCAGTATACTGATGGCACCTCACTCCAAATGTCTTCACAGTCTCACTCGATGACTTCATGTACACATTGAACAGGAAGAGTGACAGGATGGGGTCCTGGGGGAACCCACCAGAAAGGTCTCAAGGGAAAGATGAGCACTCGCCCATTAGAGAGAGACAGGATTATAGAGACACGCAGGGCTATAGGGGGTTGTTCCACTGAAAATGAACCCCTTGTTATGGCAGACACAGAAAGAGACTCAGTCTACAAGACCCCTGAACTCTCCCATCCAAGAGACTTTCCTGTAGCTACAGGAAGCCACATAATCAGAAATTCACTTTTGCTTTGGGACCAGAGTCCTGGGCTCAGATCCCACCAGGGTGCAGGCATTTTCTCCAGAGCTGTCAGCATCCAAGCAAGGCACACCAGAGGCACTGTTCAATTCAAGCCCACATTGTGCTTTGAGATGGAAAGGCCTGTCTGCTACAGTCCCGCCGCCAGCCTCACAAAGGCAAAAACGACTGCTCTTTTCTGAATCCTCATATTCCTTATGTGCCTCTGTGGAGCCAGGTCCCTGCAGTGCTCACCCCGTCTGCGTGACTTTTCCATGCAGAAACGAGGAACAAAAAACAATATTTAAAATGTAAAAAGTACAGGAAAAATAACACTGTAAAAAGGGAGCAGGCTCCTTAGCAGGCTAAGGAGTCATGTGAAACCCAGAGGCACGGTTTTCCTGGCTGAGGAAAATGCCTTTCCTCCCAGCTGCGACTTCAGCCCACCGGCGCACAGGCTTTTACCTTTGAAGTAGCCGTAGTACCGGAGGTGGTGGTACATGAAGCTCTCGTAGGGATCTGCAAGCAGCTGGAGAAGGGAAGGACGGGGCACGTGAAACAGGCGGTGGCACCCCCTTGAGCGAGGACTGCACCAGCTGGACACCTTCACAAAGTGGCCAAGCGCACGGGCAGGCCCCGTGCACCAAGCAGCCCTCAGCCCTGTTACCACGCTCCCCAGTTGTGCGCCCCACACCTCGCCATGGGGGGGGGGTGACACAGCCCACGAGGCCAAGGGCCCAGCACGAGGCGCCGCCCTGGCAGCTCCCGGCCCCGCGGCCGAGTCTGTCACGGCGGCCTGGGC